AATCATTTTGCTTGCTAATTGCATTCGTTGGGAATGTCTGTGGAATGCAAAAATACAACCAACCAACCAAGGAGGTTTAATTCAGAATGTCAATAGAAACATGATTTATTCCTGTGAATTTTATGTATGTCTCTGGCTCTTTTCCCTGCATTGATCTCTTTCTCTAGAAGCCACTCCATCCCTCTATGTTGCAAACAAGCTAAGCTTGAGAGGACAAGCACTTGAGGCAAACAAGTTGTTGCCCTGGGAGACTTCCCATGATTAGAGTCTTAAGCAAAGACCTTTTGGAAACCTATCCCCCTGCAAAAATAAGATTTGAATAAGACGAGGCTTGGAAATGCTACAGACAAAGATTTAGGGAGCTTTGCCTCTTGAAATATTTAATTTGTTGTGTTTATGGTGGTGTTTTAAGGCATAAGACACTTGCAAACTGCATCACATTGTTGCTATTGCCCACAAATAGCACATGGTCTGTGCGAAGGGAGCTTCTAAACATACCATTCTGTGCTTTGGGCACTGCGTATGCAACTAGCTGGAAAGAAGCTTCTAGAAGTATGCTTGGAAATGTACTCTAGTGACATTATTGGAAATAAAGAGATGACAACTGCAAGGCAACTCAGTACAAGAAATGTCATGTTCAAACACTAATAATAAAAAAAGAACTGGCACAAAACCAAACCAAAACAAAAAACAAGCAACAAAAACCAGCTAAGAACATCACCAAATAACACTGTGAAAGCTTTGTCTAAGGTAGCATTAAACCAGGAGAAGCAGAGTCAATGATGGTGGCACTCAGGTAACTAGCTGTACCAAGCCCAGCAACTCAAAACAGCAGCATGTGGACAAACACAGCAAGCAGGAGACATTAGGGTGAAGCCAAATACTAACTGATCTTCAGAAGTATAAAATGCCATCAGCAATGAATTTCCATTATACCAAAACCCAAGCAGTCTTTTCATGGTGACAAGTCAAGCTCTGGAGGAAGCAGTTGTCGTTTTATTAATTTTGCTGGAATCAAAATCTTCCAGAAGTAAAATAAGGGAATTTTTACTTGAAGCATTGTGGGAAAAATCAAACTAACTTACTAGAACTCAGCAATTAATTTTGATATATTATTTCTAATAATAATGATGAACAAAAGGAGATTTAACAGATAGCTACGTGAACAGAGGAGTAAATGAAACCTGGATCACCATAACTCTGTGTCTTAGTGTTGGTTGGCTTGTGTATTTAATAAGATAGGAAGCTATTCCTGCAGCTGAGTGATTTTAAGGTCTTTCTCTTGTGGTTTCACTGTCATCTAGCAGAGGTTTAGCTACTTTTGCAGTCTTCCTTTCAGGGAGAACATTTATGGGATTCCTCTTTTTTACCCATCTACTTTAATGAAACTGGTAGTTCCTAAATATCTTTGAGATCTCTATCCTCCTGTAAATTTGGTCATGGTGTTCAGCTGTTACTGGATCCAGGGCAAACACCTTCCACATGCATGTATGTATACACAGAGCATGATTCCACGGCCCTAATTCCCTAAGCAAATAAACCAAACAAAAATAAACAGTTTTTCAAAATGGCAAATCATAAAACACTGTTCCAGAAAAGGCCAGAGTGAGAACTAAAAAGGCCAAAAATCAGCTTTGCAGATTTTGCTTTGAAATTGTTTTGTTTGTTTGCGTGTTTGTTTTTACTAAAGGCCAGCTATTCTCTAGCAAGTTTTCAAGACCTATCCCTGTGTAAGCAGAAGAGAGCAGAGCTCAGACTTTTGAATCCAGTCCTGGCACTACACAGGAGTACTACTGGGCATGAACTGCAAACTTGGCTCAGCTGGTGTAGGCTGAGCTGAGCCTCACGCTGTTTGAAACTGCACACTCAAGCAAGGGACCAGTTGAAGCCTGAGGGCTCCCAGGCTGCTAGGGAGAATTGTGAAGGGCCTTGTAGCACTACCAAGCAGCGTTCACTGGGCCTCCAGTGCTCTCCTGCCTCGTGTCCAGTTGCTTTTACCCATGCCCACATTTGCTCACAAGCAGAAGAATCCCTGAAAGTGTATTTCTGAAACTTAGTCCTTCCAAGCAATACAGACACTTCCAGTAACACCTCACTGAAGTGTCCAGTGGTGGAAATGAGCCCAATACCAGCAGAAGGAAGGAACCATTTGGAGCCCATAGTGCAGTCTGGAGTCCGATCAGGCAAATTCATGGCCTTTTTAATTTGTGGGTGCTGGAGAGGTGTGAATCTTACTGCTATTAAACTCCAAATTCCTCTGAAGCCAGTGGACCTCACAAGAATAGTGTACATAGCCAGTGAGAGGAGGCATCGTATAAAAAACAATGGAGATGGGACAAAGTGCTACAGGAAAACAATGAAATACAATCTCTGAGTTTGGAAGATGTTTAAATATCCATTGTATCAATGATAAAAAGCAAATACCCATAATTCTATCTCTGTTACACAGCACAATCCCACCATTTTTCATGGAGCTAATTTAATTTTGCTTGTGAAAAACCCAGAAAAAAAAAAATAGCCTTGTTCTCCAGGTCCCCTTACTGTGATTTATGACATGGGCATCATGGAGATTCACAGCTGGTTCCTAAGACAGAAACATGCAGATGGGAGGATCCAGCCTTTCTTGCCATATCGGTCATGATGACATTTGAAAGACAATTTGCTTAACGCTCCTGTAAAAGGAATCAAAGATGCCACCTGAAACCAGAGTGAGATGCATTTCCTCATAGCTACTCATGTTTCAGTTAAGAAACATGATTTGTTTTCCAATGCATGTTATTACTTGCTGTGTTTACATGATGTCAAAAATAATGAAGAAGCAGAATAAAAATGGTAATAATCCAGTATATTTAATACTTCAAATGCATGTTATTGTTTGCATGGTTTGAGCAACATAACATCTGAAAGAGTGCAAACAAGTGACATCGAGCATGGAGCTCTAAGCAGCACAAGGTGTGGGGTCTGGGCAGGGGGCTGTTTATGTCCTTCCTGTGACAGTGGGTCACGATTTTTTACATGTGTTTTTGCTTGACAAGACCAGTTCATTGCACTGTGTGGGAATGTGTTCATTTTGATTGAAGGTTTGCTGGGAGGGTTTATCATCTTTCTTGTAGTCAAAAGCAAATAGCAAATTAGGGCAACCACCTCAGATAATCGATAATTCAATACCCTAAGTAGCAGGGGTACAGCGTAAGTTTCTTCCATGCTCCTCTCCAGCAGGACACCTGGAAGCTGTTAATCATTGTATAAGTCATTAAAGAGCAATTGGGCCAGACAGACTGACGCCCTAACCTTCTGTGGTGAGATTAGGACATGCCCCTTGCACCACCATGTCCAGCTTCTGTGCGTACAGGGACACTTGTACTCCCAGATGTGCATCTAGAGGCCAGTCCAACACAGGCATGATTTCACAGCTCAGCTTAATCACCCTGGCAGACTGGCCTTGCACCTACACCCCCTCCTTCTAACACTCACAAACACCTAGAAATGTTTGCCAAATCCAGAGCTCCCAAGGCGATAAAAGTTGAGTTTGGCTGTTGGGGGTTTGGCTAGTGATTTCTGTCTAAGATACAGAAGGCTGCTGAAAACTATCTCAAATTGGTCCGCGGCAGGCAGGTCAGAGTGCCTCTATGCTGAACACAGAGGACTTGCAGCAAGGACTGCTGCCAGCAAATGCAGCTGTGAATAAGAGCTGGGAGAGGCTGGACAAGAAAGAGACTTACCTACATGACCTGAAGGAGTTGTTCTCTTTAAACTAGTGTTGATGTACTAACTGAAAGCCTCTATGGAAAGCTAAAGAGCCCTTCTGCAAGGTGCGCTGTGTGCAGCTGTGCTGCTGTCAGGCCCACCTTAGTCAGATTTGGCTGATCTTAATCCCCTATCTGGGGCTGCTAACATAAGGTAAAGTGGCCAAATGCAGTATTTGGTGTGTTAGTCCCAGATGTGCTATAGAAACAGGCACTTGACATCTCTGGCCTTGAATGTCCACAGGTGTTTTTGATGCATTCCCCTGTGGGTAAGATCCGGGAAGCTCCAGCTGTGATATTCCTGTGCACTTTAACTTCTGAAGTTGTAACTGGCTGAAGACTATTAACAAAACTTCCATGAGCACAGTGCAGGTAGTCGGGCTTCCCTGTCACACATCCACGGTGTCCAGCAACTCCTTTTTTTGGCAAATCTGTACCTGAGTCAGTGAGATACCTTCCAGATTGCTCAATCCATAGAAATGTTTATATTAAAACATACGGTGGGAGGGTGGGTGGGGGGAGAACTAGATTATTTTTAAGGTCCCTTCCAACCCAAACCATTTTATGATGGAATGATTCTCTTTCCACCTTCCTTTGGAGCAATGGTAGCACATGCTAGTGAAGACGGGTAGGAAGAATCACTCTGCAGAACTCCCGGCTGGATTGCCTTCCCTCCAGAACCCTAGGCGGTGGCTCTACTTTGTGGCGTGCCCCGGGTCAGAAGGGGCTCTGCGGCGGGGCCATCCCGCGGGCCTCGGCGCCGCAAGGCCCGTGGCCAGGACGGCCCGGGACGGCC